CTGATCACTCGACTCAAAGATAACCCATTCATATGGGCATCGTTGTAACTATTCTAACTATAAAATTACTCCAACTAATTAAGAATATTAGCTCGATTATTGGAGAAAACGTTAATTATCATGAAAGCTAATTTTCTCCTAATTAAAGCTTTAAGCTTTCATCTATTTCTTATAAACACATTTATAAAGACTATTTCACTTTTGCTATTTCTCCAAAGTTCTCGAACATAAAACGATTAAGGAAGAGGCATTGAAAGTAAGAGGAGGAGAAATTAGGTACACACGTGTTTGTATGTTACAAAGCTCGTTATAGGTAAGGAGTAGGGATAGATCTAAAGGAGAAGGACGATGTAGCGGAAAGGACCAATCAAAGAGATAACTGGATTCCCATTAAACCGCTTATAACTTAATTAATTTCGCGACGCACGTTAATGTAGCACGCCTAACACACTAGATGGTGTTCTCTGCAAGCGATATCACGTGTAACATAATTTCCTCGTTAAACATAGTTCAACGTATCGCACGTTTACACGCACATGTAACCAAGTCGCGACCCGTGATCGCGTGTGAATTTTCTCTGTTCTTGTTCGTTCTTCTTCCTCTCTCTTTCTCTTTCTCTTTACAAACCCGTTCGTTCGTTCGTCGTTCGTTCGTTCGTTCGTTCGTTCGTTCGTTTGTTAGTTCGTTCGTTCATTGTGCCAACGTCACACAATTCGTCGAAAAAAAATGCCATATCTCTGGCGATGTGTTTTCGTGTAGAACGCCATTGCCTCGAGCTGAGCTTCGTATTTATATGGCGTATATCAACGATGAAAAACAGCCTGTAACGTGGTACTCAAACTTTTGGTGTATCGAATTTTGTTTCGAACTCTCGAGAGTTATATATATATTAGCGGTTTAATAACATTTCACAGTTCATCCTATTAGAGGCAAGAGTGAAAGAAAGAGAAGGAAGACCCTCCTTTTCACGATATTATTATTACAGACAAATTTATTATAGAAAAGTTGCTATTCATTCATTATTCTACTTCTAATTCATTATTTACCACTTCTTCTTCTCCTTCTTTTTTTGTCATTTTTATTTTATTTCTATTTATTTATTTTCTATTAGAAACTATGTGTAATATATTTCAGCTTATCAATCGACATTCATAGTTTTAATACCACACAACGTAATGCAAATCTAATCATTCCAGATTCGAACAGCGTAGCAAGCTGCATTGATACGTCATCTCCATGGCAACATTCGCGAGAGTATTGTCCTCCTTATTATTATCTAGTGGAAACACAGATTTTATATATCATGAACCATCCATTATCGTATCCGGGATCCATAAACAACGCCATTCTGGTCCTCCCAACAACGTAATGAAATAAATTCATGACCGTCCACAATAAGAAGGAAGAAAAGACTTTGTTGATAGTTTAGCCATAACATTATGAAATTATTTTCGAAATATCTACATTGATTACCTTCATATTTAACGATTTCTTCTCTTTTCCATGGTTCCGTTCCATAGACAAGAAAAAGAATCAATTGCTACCTTTGTTTGGCATATCGAAGTGAAAGAAAGATATGAGATAGATAAAAAAAAGTCCACTTTGTCATGTAAATTTCCTCGACGGAAATTTCAAGAACTCGCAAAAGACCATTCGTTCCAAAAACAAGAACCCTCTTCTTTCTCTTTCTCTTTCTCTTTCTCTTTCTTAACCAACACTTTTTCCTATTTATCCCCTCCTTCTCCTTTCCCTTTCTCCCTTTCCTTCTTTCTCTTTTACTACAGAATAAGCACTTAAGAAACTTTCGATCGCCGTGTAAGAGCTGCTGCATTTTCCTGTCCTTTATTCTGGACTAAGAAACTATTGCTAATTATTTCAATTTTGTCCTTTTTATCTTTCCTCTTAAGTATTTGCGTTAAATATTATAACCATTATTATGAAAATTTGCAAATATTTTATTACAAAATTAATTAATTCTCTGTTACGAAAATTTGTCACGTTTCAATATACATATTTATTTAAAATAATATATGAATATACAAAGACCTCGTTACGAATATATTTTCGGCTATTGTCTTTCTTCATATCCTTTTCTTTTTTGTTGATGGAGATCAAATTGTAGTCTCGTGATGAAAATATATATATATATATATAAAATAAAAGAACAAAGAATATAGAAAAATAGAAACAACATCGGTGGAAGGCAGTCGACGAAGCGATAAGCAAATAGATGTTACTGTCGAGCAACAACGATCTCGAATCTCTCAAAACGTTGCTTGTTGCTACAATTTTACTGGTTAATTGGAATCGAGTCACGACTTCGTTTTTTATGTCATCGTTTTCCCCTGAGACGCGTGCAACGCACAATGTTTACCATCTCTCTCTCTCTCTCTCTCTCTCTCTCTCTCTCTCTCTCTCTTTTTCTATCTATTTGACTGTCTACGTTTATATATATATTCTCTAAAATCGACCCATCTATATACTAGCATTCCCATTTACATCGACATTCCCGCTTCGTAGATACGTTAGAATTTCGACGAAATTCTCATATCGACGAGAATACCACCTATCTCTTTCGAAGTTTATTTTATGATCAGAGAGAAATGCCAACTACAGAGAGTATACCGTAATTTAGGGTATATAGTTGCAACGCATACTTTCTAAGATGGATATCGATAGCCTCAAAACAGTAAGAAAACGTTTTTCCGTACATTTTGGTTTATTTATTATTTTATTTCAAAATTGATACGAATCGACAATACTTTAACGTATTAACAGATAACCAGAGATAATTTGAACTATAATAATTATTATAGAAAAAGAATGATATATAATCGGTACGTTTCCACTGAAGTTTTTACATTAATTTTGGAAACGTTAGAAATTATCTGCTAGTAAGTACATAAAATACAAATAACATACGTGCGACGCCAAAGGGTGAATCAAACCTCCCTCCTTCCACTATTGCAAGCCCTTTTCCCACCACTCCAAATTCTCTAGTAGTAGCACCTTTACTATCACCACCACTACTACCATCAGATGCAAACTGCGGCAATTATCCGAACCGCAGCTGCGCAGAAACTTTCCGTAACAGATCGCCCAGCGATTAATAACCTATATTAATTAGGACAAAACGTGGGAGTACGAATCGGAAGACGGTAAAATCCGTCGCTGCACCATGTTGGCTCCTCGACCGCTAATTATTCTACGCCTGCCGTTAGAACCTCCGTTTTGTTTTAAACGTTCGGAACCATCTCGTACATACATACATACATTACCTTACGTATCTACGTATGATACTTCACACTAATTCGAAGTCGAAACGTAAACTTTCTTGTTGGACGGATCTAATCGACGAGGAAACATAAATCTAATATGACAAGTAAGTAGAACGAGGAAGCAATTTCTCGTCCCCTTTTTCATCCTTCAAATGTTATCACATAGATCGATCAATCGATCGATATTTCAACAACCACACACAAATAGAACAAATGAGTAAGTTTTTTAATGATGCTTAGACAAACTTTGTTAACACGTATGTTTTTCTTTTATCCCTTAAGAAACGAAGGTGTGTATATGTTTAACATAGTTCGTAGAAAGTAACAGGAATTAGTCGTTTTCTATATTTATTCTAGCAATACACATATACCTATATATTACATCGAATACATGCATAAATATCTACAATGTTCATTTGGTTTAACAGGCGACGTCAACGTAAACAGAAACTCGACCGATAGTACGGTAGGCGCTGAGGTCAACCGGTGCTCGTTGTTATATATTTAGAGCAAACGATAAACGTTGATTATTATCTCACGAGAAGCGCGTGCGTCGATATGAAACATCGATCCACGGTACCGTCAAATCAAATTAACATTTCACGTTTATAGTCCCGATTAGATATACGTTAACCGTGAGATAATATCGACTAACCCCAACAATTTTGTTCAACTAATTTCTATTTACCTACATAATTATATATATATATATATAATTATCGTATATTATATATAATCAGAAATATCTCATTTCTAAAAATCTATATGTATTCATTCAATAATAATCATTTTTATTATTAAAAACCAGATATTCGTTTAGGGTAATAATACAGATATAGACCACTCGTAGTACTCGGACGTTAAAGACTCACTTTCACCAACTAACTCTAAGAGACTCCATAATAGATTAACTGTCTCTGACTATCTGAGCATTGAGCATCCAGGCCCATTGTGTATCTCATATAGCATCTCCATTATGTATTTCTTATGACGAAATTTGCTTTGAATAACGAGCACATTTCTAAAACGAATTATGCTTGCAAACTGAGGTAATTTTTATATCTTTGGAAAATCATATAAACAACATTCAATAAAAGAATTTTCATAGAGGACAGTGAGTCAGTTTACTATTGAATTCCGAAGTGGAAGGTGCTCCGAACATATACTCATGTCAGTGCTTCTAAATTACAATAAACATTTTTTTCGATTAATTAACAATTAATTAAGGTATACAGAATACAATCTTGTTCTTTACTAATACTTATAATTATTTATACATATATATATATATACATTCTTTTAAATATTATATATCTCTTTTATCGTACTTTGAATATTAATTAATTTTAATCTTATGTTTCATTAGACTACAATATTCATTTCCTTCGATTAATTAACAATCATTTAACGTATGTCTAATTCTCTAATGTACTTTACTAATATCTTGAATTATTTAAACTAAAATACATTCGTTTTAACGTTCCGTGATGACATTGATTAAAAACATTTAAATAATAGTAAAAACAAAGGATGACCAATTATTATATTATGAAAAAACTAGATATTTCCTCTGTTATATCAACACGTACGATTTGAAGAGCATTTTCTGCAAAAATTACTTTCGTATTTCGAACGTACAACGTTTCTTTCCTTTTGTTTTCAACAGACATTCTCCTACTTTTTGTATGTTTGTTTTTCCTAACAATTTTCTTTTCTTTACAGAGTCGACGAGGATGGTTCGTGGGACAAAATGAAAGAAATTGTGACATCAACAAACGCAACATTTTACACCATCGAGAATCTAACACCGTTTACGGTGTATAGCTTTCGGGTGGCAGCAGTAAACGCGATGGGCCGCAGCAAGCCGAGTCAAGCATCCTACTACATCATCACCTTGAGAGAGAGTACGTATTTTTGTCCGATCATAATTGCCTTTCCGTTCTTTATCAAAGAATTTCTTGGCTCTCGTTAGTACCTCTTTATTTCTTTTCATTTTTTTATTTCCTTTCTTTCTTGAATCGTTGATCAAACGTTTTTATCGTCTGCAAATGACAAATAAAACGAAAAGAAAACAAAAAGAAAGAGAGAGAGAGATGGTAGTACCAAAAACGAACTTCATATTACGGAGACTGTGAGCAGGTGCGCAATGACTCCGCAAATCCTCCCTCGCAGACGGATTAAATGACTCACGCTCTTCGGTCATTAGTAGCGTAAAGTAAACGGGTTTGCGCCTGGAGAAACGTGAGAATAAAGAAAAAAAAGAGAGAGATAGAAGGAGAGGGGCGAGGGACGAAGGGCGAGGGTCGAGGGAGGCAGGAGGAAGAGGAAAAGTAAAAGAAGAAGAAGAAAAAGAAGGTTGAAAGTAGTTAGTCTGGTCGGTCCTTCACGTGTGCGCGCGTGCGCAAGCCAGGTTGTTGGCAAGGCCCGTGACTAAAGAGGCACTAATTGCAGTGAGACGCGAGAGTGGTGTGTGCACTTTCTTTCTCACTTCTTCTCATATATCTTAACGTTTTTAGCCCTTATTCTCTTTCTCTCATCTTTATCTTTCTCATTTTCTTGCTCTTTCTTTCTTTATTTTTCCACTTGACGTTTCAGTCTTGCACCCCCACGAGAGATGGGATGAACAGAAAGGGAAAGAGAGAAAATAGATTGAACCGTCGTACGCGCGAGCCCTATAAATTCTGTAAACGCAGACAGGATTCAACGACATCCACCTGTATACTCCGTTCGTTCGTTCGTTGATTCATTCATCGTTCCTATGGCCGACAAAGTTTGCCAGCGCTTTGGGTGCTTCTGTAACGTACGTGAGCACAACCATTCTTCCCCTCGTCCTCCTGCTCCTGCTCCTGCTCCTGCTCCTGCTCTCGTTTGACCTAAATTCCTCGTGTACCGATCGTGGGTTAGGACAATTAGCGGCTTGATCGTGCACGAAGAGGCAATTCCGCGCGACTGGAATTAGATGAGGAGGAAGTTGAGGAGGAAGTTTAACAGGAGGAGGAGGAGGAGGAGGAGGAGGAGGAAAAAGACTTCGAAAAGAGCTTGAAGAAAGAGGACGACGTTGAGGAAGCCCGGCCGAGATTTATCGTCCGATCGAGTATACCTCGTTGCTTTTAATTAATGTTCACGATGGTCCTCCTCTTTAGTACGAAGATTCGCGCTCTTTAATACTTATGTTAGCCCCCTCTTCCCTTCGCTTTACATCGTGTACTACAGTATTACATTTAGAAAGAAAGGAAATGAAAGAGAAAAACGAGGAAAGATACTCGAGGAATCCAAGGAATTTAATTACGTTTATTTATTACTTTCGCATTCGATCTTTCTTCTTTTCTTTTTTCTTTTCCATTATATCTTTTGTTTTAAATATTCTAATACTCTCGAAGGCTTTTCTCGGTGGTTAGTGATAAATTGGAATGTCTTCTTTATTTTGGTTTTTTTCTTTTCTTTTGTTTCTTTTCGATGTTAAACCAAGTGATTTTTTATCGGAAAACTCTGCTCGAGAAAAATATAAGAAAACGCGAATTTGGTCTTTTCTCATACGTCTCTCTCTCTCTTTTTCTTTTGCGATCTCTTTCGAGGGTAACACAGAAGAAGCGTAATTTCCGTTTTATCGCTGTAACGACGCGCCATCCGTTCCAGCCTGATCGCAAGAAGAAATGAAAGCTTGCAAGAAGTTTGGCGTAGATCCATACAACTCAGCTTAGAAATGAGCTGAGAATGAACGACGACAAAGGACAAAGACAAAGATGATAACAACAACGAAAACGTCTATTAGCTCTTGACGACGTGTTTCGTGTGGCTTAAACGAATAAAACAAAAATAAGGAGATACGTCCAACAGATAAAAACTCGAACGTTCAACCTTGAAATCAGAAAGAAACTAGTAATTCTCATTTATCCTTCTCAATATCAATCTTATTAATTATATGAATTATTCTCAGATCGATAATAACTGCGTTATATACATATGTTTTTTTCCCTTTCGGTTATGGACTAACTTGGAGTAATAAAAAATAAAGAAAGGATGCAGAAGAGTCGTGTTCGTGTATCGGACATTGGCATCGCGTTATTCGGAAGCAACGAAGCGGAAAACGCTGGACGAGGATTTAATGTCTACCTATTCGTACAGGATTGGATTTAATATACATATACATATAGCATTCTCTCGTGTATCAAAAGAAAAAATATTTCAATAGAAGGTGCGAGTTCTTTTTCTGCTGCGATGATTTCCTCGATTTTCACACACTTTTCTGTTCGACTAATGCATACTTTATAAAAAATAATAAAAAAAAGAAAGAAATAGAAGGATAGAGAAGTGTGTGTGAGAGAGAGAGAGACGTCGAATCACCGGATAAAGCATTATGCGAGGCACGATATTCTCGCTCGCTCTCGTCACATTTTGACGACACTTTTGATGACACTGTAAATCTAGGGGACGTGCACGCAGCTAACGTAATAGTCGCTCTAAACTCACAATCAGGGCTCGTTTTTAGCGTTTCTGGCGAATTGGGACGCGGAAATGCAGCCGACCCAGAGCATTGTCGAATACGAGGGAATGTAGAATCAGAGCTATTAAACGAGAACGAACGCGAGCACGCATACGTGCGAGGTATCGAGGATGCGTGTACGATGTGATGCTACTGGTGGTGCATATGAGAGAAGGGAAAAGGGAATGGTGTAGAGGAATTGGAGGAGATAGGGCAGGAGGAGGAGTCAAGGGGTATGGACACGAACGTGTACGTGAGAGCGTGTACATTGTGCGGTAGGTTCATTATGGTACCACGTGAGACGAGAATAATTATCTAGTTATCGAGACTGACCCGCATTGGCGAACAAATGCCCTCGTATCGTCCTGGAATTGCGTGTACTTGTGTCAATAACTAATTTAAATACCACCCCGACGACTGTTATCCGAAATGTGTCCTCTATATGTGAAAAAGCCAGTTCATTCCCTTTACGTTTCTCTCTATCTATCTATTTATCTATCTATCTCTATATTTCTCTTTATCATTTGTATAAACTCAAACACATCGATTTGCTATTAACCGATCGAAAATCGCAAGAAAGTTATTTCGTTTGTAACAAGACAAAGTTGGAGAATCATTTTCAATTATACTACCATTATTGTTCATACATGTAGATTGATAAACAATTAGAATAATTATCGATAGGTATAGATACGTTTGTAATAATCGTAGGATATTCATTTATTCCTCTCTCATTAATACATAATAGGGGGAAATTATTCAATAAAGAGAGAGAGAGAGAAAGAGAGAGAGAGAGACAGGGAGAGGGTGAGAGAGATATATACATAATTGAGATTGAGCCATTTGTAAATTTTCCATACGCTCATAATAATCGAAGGAATAACATGAGTTTATTTGATATTCGGTTATCTTGTTTCATAGATACCTAACTAGCATAAATCCAATAAATTCATCGGGTTGAAATAGGATGAAGCTTAAAAGCATATTATTTTGATTATTAGATCCAAGTAAGGCTTCAATGAATAAACCTCGTATAACGAAGATGTTTGTTAGTAAATGTCAATACTGTTGTTACTATAATATATGTGCTACTGCTCTTTGTTCAACGTTTACATAGTTTGGAACTACGATATACATGTGAATCTCTCTTTTTATCTCTCTCTCACTCTGTTGCATTCATCTTGTAAACATAGATACAATATCTATTACCTAAACGTTCTCTTGCTGAAAACTTGCAGTTAGTTATCATAGTGTCACACCCGAAGGAACGTATCTCTGGGTGAGATCGAACATAGAAATAGGACAACGTCGTTCCCGTTATTTTTCGAGACATGCTTATAACGTGGAATGGTGATCGTCAACATCGTGAGAATCGGAATGAAAGCGATATTCGTAGGTGTCGATTAGCTTGCAAAGCAATGCGTCAATATTGACAACACGCGTAGAATTCGTCCGTATAGTTTCTACATCGAATTCAATCTCGTTTATCTAATTCAGTTTTGAATCAGCTTTGGTTGCGAAGCTACGAGAGAAAGTAGAGTTTTAAGCACACCACAACAACAGTGAAAGAGAAAGAAAGATAAATAACGAGATTGGATCCATACAAAAATATATATATATATATATATATATATATATATATATATTTGTGTATGGGTGTGTGTGTGTGTGTAATTCTGTATATATCTGTATATATATACCTATACATATATACGTGTGAGTAGTGCGTTGTACAGGACGGGAATTCACGATAGCTTAAATGAAAGCCCACGCTCCCGGATCAATAGGGCACCAACGAAACTTCTCCTACCACTTTGCTCCAGCTTCGATACGCGTATATCGCTTCTCGTTCCCGTTTACGGACCTCGTTCGGCTGTCCACCATAAATATATAGCGCAACCTAGCCACCAATTAGCCATCGGCCCACCCGTCGACGTGGCATTCGAGTTAAAGTTCCCTCTCGTCCTTTTGCAAAAGCACCGTTAGAAAATTAGAAGCGTTCTAACACACTATAGATATCTCTTTTTCCTCCATATATATATATATATATGTATATAGTATGTATTAGTTCTTAATTTCCGATACCCAAAAGAGATTCTATGATCGTTTTACCGATTTTTATAAAAGAATATTCTTCGATATCGTTATTATATATATATATATTATTTTTGCCAGGGATAAAAGAATTTTTATTGTTTTATCGAAAAAACATGTAATAAAGCATCAATCATTTTTACAAAAATGTAATATATCGAAAGTTCTTTAATAAGGTTCACGGTGCGGTAAAATGATTTTTTAATAAATCCAAGCAATTTTCACCTTTTCAACTAGTTAAAAGAATTGAAAAGAACCAAAAATGGTTTACTATCATTTTTATGCTATCATTTAATAAGATTTATTTAGGATATTTCTCACAAATCGTGATAATAAGGTACTCGAGGTATAATATAAATTTGTCATATGTAAAATGCTGTTGTGTGTTCTAAAAAAGGAAGAAAAAAAAACGATATCAGCATTTTACAATACATCCCGGAAAATTGTCGCGACTTTATTCATTACATTTATGTTTTAAGCTTGACGATTCGAAAAACACTTAGGAAGCAATACCCTCTCCCCTCCCCCCTCTTACTCTCGGTCATTTTAAAAGCATGGTCATGCTTTGGAGAAAATCGGTACTCCGATAATTTATCACGGAAGCATAAAACCCAACGCCACCGTCATAAACTCACCGCCGAGGTAATAATAAGTTAACGCAGATTTAGCGTCTGTAAAAAATGTAGCTCACATTTATCGCTGAGCTAAATTGCTCGACGAAGTGGCGAGCGGAAATCGCCTAAAAGACTTATCACTTTCTACTTATCGCGCAAACACCTGACCCATGCTAATGTCGCCTATGAACTCGTTATAATTTGCTCTCATCCGCTGGTTATTTATTCCTAAATCCATAAATGTAACCATGGAATGCACTTACAATTTATCATTTATTTCATTACTTTTCCTTTTACTTTTATACATAATTAAAGCAATAAAGAAGGTAAAATGAATCTTCCGATATGTAATGTGATCATCAAGAGAATTATAATCCGATTCGTTAAAATTTCTTTCTTTTTTTTTAAATTTACAAATATATGAATTCTAAAAAAGTACAGCTTTATTTATATTATAAGAAAGGAAGACAACATATCATGAAATACTTCTTAATAACAAACAGACACAGAAGAGTGGAAAATTTAGCTTAATTTGAAACGAGTGTCTACACAAGTCTAATTGTTTCTCTTTTCCTGAACATTACCTTTTGTACGTCTCATTAAGAACTCACGTCAATTAAGATACCACACATTTCCGTTCGGCGTAGACAACACGTAACTCGATACCATTTTCGCTTGGTCAACTTTGCTTTCACTTTCTTTCTCTCTCTCTCGTGACGATCTCTCGCACAATTAACACTTTACTCGTGGACATTAAGCCTCGGCCGGTGGGTTAGTTGTTTCACATCAGTTCCGGCCACAGTGACGTACGGCGAGCATTAAATGTCTTGAAATTATTTCTCCGACAATTTCTCATCTGCCATAGCGTTGGCGATGGTCGCGAATATCCATACACACTCACATATACAATATAATATACATATACAGAATGAAAGTTAGTCAACTCGTATGTAGACTTCACATGGAAGAGTGTAAGTGATTCATGTTATATATAGTTATATATATATATATATATATATATATATATATCGTCTGTCTTCCTCTTTCTCACGTGTGTGGAAAGGACGGAGAGTTTCAAAAGTGATGCAGACGCTAATTATTTCGAACAGCTCCCGAGTTCTGACAGGAACAACGAGCTTTCTGCCTTCGTTCTCGGCGAAAAGGGACCACGAAACACATTATCCCGGCAAGAGAATTATTACGCAGGTGTTTTTCACTCTCCTCCTTCTACATGGAAACCTTGTCTCTCCTTCCCAGCACCAAGGATTCCCTCTCTCAACGGAATTTAATCGGCTTAATTGCAAGATTTCATTCTATGAGAATTCATTGGAAATAAAATTTATCGTACGATCTTTTAAATTAAGGGGAAACAAAAAATGAGTCTGGTACTAAAGATTTATGATTAATTTTCTTGTAGTAATTTACGAGGAAGTTATGAAAATAAAAGAAAAAAGTATTTACGTTTTTTCTTTTTTCGTTTTTTTTTTTTTTTTACATTTTAATGAGAGTAACTACTTTGCAAGAACAAAAGTGTTAATTAAAAAAAAATGTTGTTCTAGTTTGTACAACACATTTGGTGCTAACGTCCGTGTAAAATGTTCACAAAATACTTCTTAAAAGTTGGCGATATTGCGAAAAGATTTTTCTACAGTACGTTCATATATATACGAACGTAAACGTACACCAGTTGGTGCAAAGAAAAGGGAGCTGTTGCGATAAAAGGGAGGAAGCTACGAACGTTGTGACCATTAAACTTCCATTTGCAACGATGAAACTAGCTCGAGTGTTCCAGGCAGTAAATTTATAAAAAGATTCCTTGGTAAAACTTAGAATCCGATTGAGATTCTTGCGGATGGTCGACCGTGGAAAATTTCAAAATGCAGACTTTCAATGAGCGCGGCCTCCATCCTTTAAGAAGTTTTAATATACCCAGGAATATTTCCATAAATTTTCTTATACGATAAAGCGGCGAAACGATTACGTATTACATACATATATATGTATATTATATATATACACACAAATAAACGGATATATATATTATATTTATATGTGTACTCATAATTATGAAAGTAGTCCGAGTCAAAATTAAAAAAAAATAAGTTTATCAGTTATTTCACACCATATTATTTTAAACGAAATGAATTCAATGTAATTTTTACGATATTGTCAAAAATGAACCATTCTAGAGTGGTTGTTATTTCAATATTATATGGAACTCATTTAGTGTTCGAATTGAATCCTTTAAATATCTCGAAACAAGAAATATATGACTTAGACCACTTTCATAATTATGGGTACATATATATATGTGTAGCACAAGTTTGAAAATAGCACCTTCTCTGTTTTTAGTTCCCGAAGGTAAACCCCTTATCACCAGCGCGTACAACACATCGGCAACGTCTATATATTTAGCATGGAAACCACCTAGTCGTGAAACCATACACGGAGAATTTCTTGGATATCGAATTGGATATAGACCGCGAGACAAAACGAATATGGAAATGAAAGACATCTACATACGGGATCCCGCAGTAGACGTAAGTTGGAAAGCAGTATATAAAATTGACATACTTTTCAAATCAATTCTATTCTCAAATAAAACTTGCTCTCTTGAATATATATATAAAATTTATTCTTATGTTTTCCAGAATCACAGTATTCACAATTTAGAAACATACACGCAGTACCTCGTTTCTCTCCAAGTTTTCAATCCGGAAGGCCATGGACCTGCCACAACAGTATCAGTGATGACCGACGAAGGAGGTAAGTCTGACGAAAATTCTTTTACTACTTCTAGTATACTCACGATTCTCGTATATCGACCGAAGCGAACAGTCGATAAAATAGATTTCTTTTCCTATCATTTTTACTCGGTTGTCGATAAGTAAGGTTTCAATATTATTTACATGTATCAAGGAAAGTTTCTACATTTAAAATACGTATCATTAATAATTTAAATTTATCGACCGAGTATTTTTAACAAAATTTGGAACTTTACTGAAAAAAAAAAAAAATAATTCTGAGATTTCGTAAAGTGATGAGTTGATGTCGATTGAAGTAATTGATAAAATAACAATGATTAATTTAATTGATATAAAGAAATGTTTTGATCTTCATAAAATCATATGCATTGCAAATTAAAATAAAATGTATCAACAATATGATATCCTCTTCTACAAGATACGAAAATTGTTTTTACAATTTCGGCAATATTTTGACAACAAACACACCCAAATATGTTTTCAATAAAATAAACATTGAACGATCGTGGCTTCAAAATAGAAGACTACGATCCTGGACTTCCTCGCGTAACTTCTACTTCTCACCCCTCTTTCCGAAGTACCCTGGAGAGCCGTCATTGGTTGAATTCACTATTGGCAAATTCACCTACTTATAACACGCTTGGAGGCAATACATACGATATTCGAAAAGAAGAGTTAGGAACGTGCAGAACGAGGAATTATTTTCTTTTACTCGAAGGTGCGATCGAAGAAAGAGATAATTTGATCCTAAACGGACCCTAGTAAGGTTTCTTTCGTATTCCAACAGGACGAACAGCTGGCAGTCCTTCGTATTTTTGGAACAAAGAAAAAGCATGGCTTCTGACTAAAAAGAATTCGAAAGGAATTCTTGTAACTTTTTATCATGATGATTGCAATGTTTCAAAGGGTGGATTTTACCTCGTTATTTTCAGAAAAAATAATGAATTGTATTATGTATAGATTTGAAGAAAAATGAAAAAAAAAAAAAAAAAGAAACAAAGTTGAATTTAGAGTAAGGCAAAGGAAAAGAACAATAAAAAGTCACCTGGCACTAAAAATGTATAAGTACGTTACTGTCGAGCCATCGGCAGCAGGTTTCCAGCTGCTTTCGGGCTCTTTGGTGAGCACTCGTCGCGTTCTACGTCGGCGTTCGTATTCGTGAGAAGGCACGCTCGGATAGCCATGAACGTGCATACATTGTCACGTGCCCTGTTCTTTTAAGATGAAAAATAGGAAGGTAATAATCATTGATTCATTGGAAGAATCGAAGACATCAATTAAATAATTGTTTCCATTGAGTGTGATTCATCGTAAGGAATGAAAGAAACATAAATAAGCAAATGTAAGACAGCATATAACAAAGGATCATTTTGAAGAGAGAGAGAGAGAGAGAGAGAGAGAGAGAGAGAGAGAGAGAGAATAAGAGAATAAGGGTAGGGGTAAAGGAGGGTTCGAGCTGTGTGCACGTCGTTTCGGTCGGCACTGCAGCCGCGCCTCCGAGTTTCACGATCGATTTTCCACGATTTTTCACTCTGTCTCTCGTGTTGTTCTCCTCGCTCGTTCGCGAGGAAGAGTCTCGCCGTGGTGTTTGTTCGTGGCCCAACGTGACGCTAAACGACGACGCCCGCTCTTCTCTCCTTCCAAAAGTCAAAGAAAAGAAAAGAGAGAGAGAGAGAGAGAGAAAGAAAAAATAGAAGTAGGAAATAGATAGATAGATGAATAGATAAATAGTTGAATTGGAAGGAAAAGTAAAAGGAAAGAAGCAAAATATAAACGCAAGAATAGTGTTGTTCGTTCGACGAGTGAGAGAGGTGATGTGATTTTCTTGATATTAAAGAGAGAGAGAGAGAGAGAGAGAGAGTGAGAGGGAGGGAAAGGGTAAGAGCGTGGACGGAGTTAAGAGGTGTGTGGTCGCGTCGTTGCGTGCATGCGTGCATGAGTGAGGAGCAGTGTGCTCGTGAACGCCGAGCGAGCGCGAGCTCTTAGCTCGAGCGTATTTCTCGTTTCCTTCCTCATAACATCTATTTCTACTTATCGTTATTATAATTATTATTATTATTATTATTACTATTATTATTATTATTTTACTATCGTTATTACAACTATTATTATTATTATTATCCTTTTCTATCTTCTAACTGTCTGTCATATCGCCATGTGTAACGTCCTCCTAGAGACCGACACGTCTAGTTTGTGCGTCGTGCTTCGTGAGTGAGTAATACGTATGTAATATATATATATGTATAATCATTGTAAGACGGAACCCTTTTAACTTGTCTGTTCTTCTTTCTTTCCTAATTCGTTTACCTTATTCTTCTTCTTCTTCTTTTTCGAATGCTGTATGTTATTCCATCGTCCTAAAGTCGAGGAAGTCAAATCGTTTGGTGGACGTTGCTCGAGGTCGAGGGTCGATAGTACTATACATATATACGAGGAGGGGTCGTAGTGTGCCCGAATCGTTAAGTTGGAACAGTCGATGAATCGGGTAGGCGACCAATTTATCCTCTTCCATACAAGCTTAAGCTTCTTTCATTATAGTTTAATCGGTTCATTCGACTCTATAGTAAAATCGATTGTTCGAGTACATTGGACCGTTTTATCCGTTTTAGTTTTAGTTTTTAAGAAGAATAAGAAAGATATTGAAAAAGAAAGAGAGAGAGAGAGAGAGAAAGGGAGAGATACTTGAGTTTTTGAGTGCTTTCAAAGAATGAACTATGCTCGTAGTGTGTTGTCAAGAATCTTTCAAAAATTTCCTTTAAATGATATATGACATATATATTAAATCAATTGTATTGTGTCATTGAAAATTAGCTATGATTAATTGGAATGATAAATTAATATTTTTAGAGGCAATTTTTTCTAATCGTCAAATTACACGTTACATTTGGTTGTGAATTTCACAAAGAAATTATTTTTAACGATAAAATTCGTCATCGTTTAAAAACGTGATCGTCAGTCAAGGCAAATTAAAATGAATAATATAACATCGTTTATTTTTTGGCTGTGAGTTTCGTGTGGTTTCGTTCAACGGAAGTTAGCAAGAAAACGTCGATAGGGTCGAGCTCTCGTCGTTGGTCGCGTAGTCGTCGTGTCGGTCGATCTATCCGTGTGTATGTGCATTTCTATACGTATATACATACACCTACGCATAAATCCTCTTCTTCTGGGTAGAGAAGAGTAACACAGCTCTGTGTATGTATGTATGTGTCTGTGTGTATGCTCATTCGGGTATTCGTGTCCTACGTATATTATATGTATATAGTATGTGTGCCTGGCGTGCGTAAGTAGTGTTGCGAGTAACTCGTACACTCGTTCTTGCTGTGAGCTGAGTCATCAGGATTTTCACTACTAGATAAACTAGATTTTAGATCTCTCTCTTCTCTTTCTTCCTTTCGATGCATGGATCTTTTATCTTTCCCTTGGTTTTTTTACTTTTCTTTTTTTTTTTCTTCTACAAACATTTTCCATATCCTTCTTTCTCTATTTTTCTTGTTTTTTTTTGAAAAGAAGGAGTAAAAGTCTCGTGTGGTATAGGTCAGCGTCGATGACTTATTTTCTTTTTTTCTACGACAAATTTGTTCTTCTACATTTTTTTTCCTTTCCTTAACAATGGTAAAAAAAAATAGTAGAAGAAGAAAAGAACAAGTATTTGTTGGTACGATTCCTCTCGCGTTCGACCTTCGTCGATGAAGAGAAGAAGAAGAAGTGAAAGAGGAGTATGAGGTGGAGGTGAAGGAAGGGGAGGAGGAGCCATTGCTCCGTTCGCAGAGATTCAAGTTTCCACATCCGAACGATGCTGCCCCCTTTTGCATTTTAATGCACGCTTTCGGTACCGTTCCACGCCTTTGATTTCTCTACTATCTTTCTTCCTCGTAGACGAATAACGCTGTTATCTCGTTATGTTTAACTCTCTCCCACTCTCGTTTATTGTTTCTCTCTCTTTCTTTCTGTATTGTCTTGAATAAACAGACAAATAAACTGACAGACAGACAGATGGACGATTGAACGAGATTATTAAAATCAGTACACCGTAAATTAGTATTATAGTATCGAACTCTTCCTTTCTTCTCCTCTCTCTTTTTCTTGTATCCTTTCGTCGGAAACATTCAATTAAACCGATAAATCGAACCCGATGAAAATCCTTTTGCCAAAGCGTCCAGTGCTCTTGTTCAGTTCCTCTTTCCTTCTTCCCGTCGATTCATTTCTTTTTTTGCACTTCTCAATAAAGCTCTTTTATTGAAAAAGAGAGAGATAGGAAGCGAAGATTACACATAAATAGTCGGAGTTAGAAAATTTTATTTCCGTATACGTTCATAACAAATGAAATATTTCTAAAAATTAAAATTTAGATTGATATTACTAACTGACGTATATAGAGAACAAGCGTGAAAGCTTAATTCAAAGCTTGCAATCATGGCGGAGGCCTTTCCTCACCTCTTCGCCCTCCTCTTCAATGATTATAGCAACGAATAACGCTTTGTTCATGGCGTTCTCGTACGCTCATCCTTTTTCTCTCTTTTTTTCCCTTTTTCTCTCTCTCTCTCTCTCTCTCTCTCTCTCTCTTGCTGCCGGTTTTGATGTACTAAAAATACGAGGGGGAAGCAAGCAGCTTTAAAGCGTTGCAGAGGGGCCGAATAATTGTTGCCAGCGCTGTCACGTTGAACCTGATGTCGCTATAGTTTTTCTCCCTTCCTCTTCTTGTTTGGTGTATATCCTCGATGAGAGACAATCGAGAGCATAATTCCGACTAATCGAGGCACTCGTCGCAATTACATCCAACACGCTTACCGTACTCCAGCTCCTTTTTATTCACTCCTTGTCTATAATATTCTCTCTTTCTCTCTCTCTCTCTCTCTCTCTTTTGTTCACATACACATAAGTACAAGCATTTCTTTACTTCCCTCGTTTCCCTTTGTTCTTACATATATATATCTTTCTTTCTTTTTCTTTTACGCTACTTTTTTTGCACGTACCAGCGCACACGCCGAGCCGTCGTGAGAA